AGACGAGCTATGAACGAAAGCGGCAGGTCCGAATACCATGTAAGCCAAAAAAGTTTGGGTCCGAAAAAAACCACGTAAATATGGGCCACTTTGTTACAGACAAAAACAATTATTTGATACAATTCTCCCGCTGTTTATTTCATAAACAAGGTCGCAATTTCTACTCTGATTGGCCAGAGTTATATCAGCGTGTTATTTCACATCGACGCAGTACATAGACAAGCTATTTATTACCGCATAAAGCAACAAAACTCAATTTAATCGCCACATTAATTTCACACGCGAAGTGAGTGCGATTCAAAATTAACAAATAATCCTTAGCATCAGAAAAAAAAAACTACCTTGGCAGGAAGGAGAGCAGAAAGGACACCAGAATACCGTGATAAAACTCTACTGGAGTTATTAAGCTTTCTTTTCTACATATGAAGTGTTTTCTTTTTATCAAGACATAAAAATGTCATTATTTCGGCAAAAAGGCAAACTGCAACACTGGCGATTTACAAGAAAACGCCATTTAATTAAATTACACCGCGGACACTATGCTGAAAGGCACAAAAACCCTGAAAACTAAGCTGTTGGAAAATATTGAAAATCCACACTGTTTTTTTTTTTTCGAGAAAAAAATCAGCAAGAAAATCACATTTGATTTCAACTAGTTTAGAATCACTAAAAGCTTTGAAACAACGCACTTGGCGACTTGTCTTAGGCAATAGAACCACCAGGAGAACGACAAAACGGGTTTTTTTTCTTATTACTATCTCACAGGCGTTTCAATGCAGCTGGACAAAACCACGTGTTTTAAAACTGTAGCAAAATAAAAGTTCCATCTTTTTAAAAAAAGCGTTCGACTTAAAAAAAACTTGGACCACGACAAGCAAAAGAAGTCAATACGAAAAACACTCGAATAGCTCTCGCATATCGATTTAAATGCTTTGGTTGAGTTTGAAAATAACCACGAGCCAAGCAATTGGAACTAACAGAAAAGCAGCTGTAGTTACATATATGTAGATCTCCTGGCGCATTTGACCACGGAGTGAAAGAGAACCTTATGAAAGTTTAATTTTAGCAAGCAGTTGACTCAAGTTATTCCATGCTAATGTTTTCTACTCAGAATTAAAAGCGATAAATCTATGGCAACGAAACCTCGCTAAAACCAATGCTAAACTCCGCCAATGCTGAACATTGCTGGAGCTCCGAGCGTTTTGTGGCGCTAGGTAACGTTGTGTCACTGAATGGAATCTCGACTAAAACCATCGTGTTTCTCTTTGAATTTACTGCAACGATCTTATCTAGTCCCTGACCAACACAAAAGCATCGACTTTTTAAAGTAACGTGACGCTTTTGCGATGTTCTTAGAAATTTCGATTCAAGAACGTGAAAAGCGCTTCTAAAAATTTGAAAGAGAGACGAATTTACGGCCATGGAACGAGAAAAAAACATTACACAAAAGTTCATTAAGTATCGTACCAGAAGTTCGGTGGAGCGATAGACTCGATCATGATTGGTTGGCACGCAGAGACATTTAATTGTTAACCGTGCAAACTCGCGCCACCATTGGACAAAAACACTTGTGTTTATGATCCATTGTCTTATCGGCCGTTACAGGTGAATTGTGCCATTGTAATGTTGGTAATTTATAGTTAGCGCCAGAAAGGAAGCTCTTTCACTCATTCGCTTGTGAGCGAAACAACGGTCGCGCCAAGAGTACGCTACAGGATTTGGAGGTAAAAAATATATCACCGGCGAAATTTTAGAGGTATGTAAGGGCATAAATTCGTAAACAATTAATTTTCTAACCGTGAACCTACTTAAAAGCGACAGTATCGTGGGATGTAGCTGGTCTTAGCTTATTTACGACTGCTTATTTCCTAGGACTGCTATAAGCCCCTGCAGATTTACGCAAAATGTTCAGCAACGAGAGTACGGACGAGAAACAATTGCAAGACTTCAGAAGTCGTGAAATGAGAAGTCGTGTACGAAATTACAAAAAACAGATGAAGACGCTGGAATATTCACGGCTTCGTTCGCTGGTTCCTTCTACAGCCTGCCGGCCTCGTGTCAGCAAGGTACGAAACTTTTATGTCAGACCTAGATTGCTAGCTTCTATCACTCATAAAAAAAATTTAAAGACCAACTCACTGTTAAAACTTATTTTTTTTTTAGATTGAAGTAATAGAGGAGGCGATCAAGTACATTGCGTTTCTCCAAGCTACTCTGAGCTCTCGCTTGGAAGAAACCAACGAAAGTAAGTTTGAAACTGAAAAACCGCCGGAAATCCATCGCATTGAATCGTGCGCACATTTTAAACTTGAGTGATTTTTTTCTCTCGCAGACAGTAACAGTCAAGGGGCAGAAGAGCGGACAGAGAGCGAAAGAAAACCGAAAATTCTCAGGCAAAAAAGACAGCGTTTCGCTTCATATATGATTAAAACCCAAAAACACACCGTACCAGCGCGACGAAAATTTTCAAGTAAGTCTGCAGAAATCTGTGTTTTTCTTTCCGTTGTTTGAGAAGTTGAAACCTGGGGACTTTGCGCGTGCTTACAGCGCGTTTGGGCCGAGGATTTGCGCATTCGAAACTAAAATTTCGAGGATAAAAATTGGGTGATTCGTTTTCTTCATCCGGTAGTTGGGTTGGAAAATGCAGCTGCACATAAAAACAACATATGTCCCTTTGAGGCTCACAGCACCTGGCATTTGCTACAAAATAAAGTTCCCTTGCGTTTTAAATAAATCGCTCCAAATTCTACCAAAAAGATCCTAGCTTAAAAGCTAGCTCAAAATCTACGCTTTGAAAAATGTTTCGTCAGTTTCCTTGAATTTCAAGGTAAATTTAGACAAGTTCACTGCCGTCTCTAAGTAACCAATTCTGGCTAAGGACGTATTCCAACCCTCGAACATGGAAATAAATATTCCAATATTATATTATAACCTTTCAACTTATTAAAATAAAATCTACAATTTACATATCACTTCGAAAGGAAATTACGGCCTGTCTAGTGAATTTTCTCCAACGCAGCTACGGGGTTGAAATAAAAATTCCCAACCCGCACGTGAGGGATTTTTTAAGGGGGTATCAACTTTGCCAATGAAAAGAAATGAAGAATAATGCAATTAAGATTCAGCAGCACCCTGGGAAAATTTAGAGAGTACAAAATATTAATACGCTCATTTATTACACATTATCTTGTCTGAAGAGTAAACAATTTCTTGCTATTAAAAATGCGACATTAGAAAGCTTTTATCTATTTTAAAAATGTCTCTTTCTTTTAATTTTTTTCAGGACAAAAGACAACAGAAAGCGAACAGCCAAGATAGAAGAGCCATTGTGTGTAACAACGGTGGAAAATCGACTACGCAAGAATAAAACTGGAAGTTATATAATAAAAGCTGCTCGCTTGAGATGGAACATTTTTTCCCAGCGCTGTGCAGCTCGCTTCAGTGCTGATGTACTGATTGGTTTTGAATTTAATTGTAGCATTTGCGTAGCTAAACCTCAAATTTAAATACATCGTGCGAAGATGCAGGGCCGAAAGTCACTGTTATGGAAGTAAGCGCCGAAAAGTACAAAGCACGTTAGGGAAAAAACTGGTGAAGTTTATGCTTGTAAAACGAAAACCAGGAAAAAAAGATTTTTACTATCCCTAAATCTAATAACTTCCTAAGACTTCCTTTTCAGAAGAGCTCTGAAAAAACCTTCAGAAAATTTTTCTTTCGATTAGTTTTCTACGTAAATGCAAATGAAAGGAAACTGAAACAGACCGTCACGTGGTGAAATTTTTTTTCGCGTGTGTCACGACGGTGTGTGTGAATGTGTCAAAAGTTTTGCTAAAAGCTGACACCGACAATCATTTCACATAAGCTTGCTGTTTTTTAGTTTTGATTACCGTCTCAAGAACTTATCAATGATCACTTCTGGTCCATCTTCCACAAGCTGAAAAAAAAAATCAAACTTCTGTTCCGCAACTAGCTCAAGTGGGTTACAATTTTGCTTTCCGAAAGGAAGTCTTAAGAACGGCCAATGCACGCTGAAACATTAAAACACATCATTCATTAGCTGGAAAATTCTCCTGTTATAATTTTATTTAAGAAGGAAGAGGGAGGGAAAATAACAAAGACGAAACATTCGAGATGGTTGTTCAGTCAGTTTTTCCCCTTTTCCTTTTAAAACAAACGGAACTCGAAACACTGCAGCGGAACTAATGTATTTATAGCTATCTAAGGCAAAGACATAATAAAATCTTTGAGGCATAACGAAAAGAGCGTTGTCAATGTTATATGCTGACCTAACAAAGAGCTTGCGTATCATTAACTTTTTTTTTCCTTTCCACGAGGTCTTCGCAGTAAGAATGATTTCTTTTTCGGTATATTACGTCGATTTATTACCGTTTTGATTTTATGAGATATAACCACGCTCTCTAGTTTCGAGGTTTCCCTTTTTCGGCGTTTTAGTATTAAGATAAACTCACCACAAGCCAGGCCTCTGCAATTTTTTAAAGAGACATCAAACTTCTCGATTCAAAACGAAAAACTCACCAGATTTATAAAATTCACTGAGTTAAGATCAAAACAATACAAAGGTCTTCAAACGATCAGTAGGACAGACATCTCCGTTCTCTTCGTTTAAGACGAAGTCAATTTTCTCGAGAAAAAATATCGTAAGTGTTGATCAAAACGCGTTAACATCGCAAAAAGCGCGTGTTCAAACCAAGCCGATTTTTTCAGAACGATGGTGCGCTCGTGTTTATAAACGCGTTTAAACCGCAATTCTAATCGCGAGTGAACACGACAACACGTTTTGAGCCGCCGGTTTACAAGAAGAAAACGCCAATGCGCGATAATTTGCAGAGAAACATGCGGGAATAACACATGATCATGATGCCAATCTAATTCTTGTTAATAAGTACATGAGAAAGAGGAACTTCGTCGTGTAAAGAACCTCTTTAAAAATCATTCAGAACCAGAACAAATACCAGGCGCAGAAAACGAACACAACTGAACAGTCTTTGACCAAAATTTTATTTTAGAAGCCACAATTACCTTTCCTTGGAGGAGCACTTCTAAACGAAGCTTAAACTATTTGTTGCAGTAAACGATAGGAAAGTAACTAAAAAGTCAACGAAGTTGTAAACCCCATCAACTGCAGACTTTGGTTTCGACTCCACTTCTCAGATTCTCCAGAATGTAATCAGATTCACAGTCACGTGACAATCTTCCTGTCACAGGTATGTTTCGTTTTTGATTCATTACCAGACTTCCTCATCCACCGCCTGGAAAATTCCGGTCTTCACTCACTTGAACCTCTGGACAATGACGGCATTTAAGAGATTTGCTTCAGAGAGTTTCTGCGTTTCATCCGATAGCTCTTTGTTAGGGAACGTCGTCATAAGAACAAAGCTCTGCGTTGCCATTTGAGGCCTTGATCTGTGTATCAGGCGTGTTTGGTTAAGTAAAATTAACCCTTTCACTCTCAAGATCTCATAAGTAATTCTCCTTACTGTCTGCCATACAATTCTTAGTTCGGAGAATTTGGTATCGAATCAACAAATAATCCCCTGATTGATATTTTTCTTCATTTTCATCATTTGTTTACTTAACATCATGTCATTTTGATATTGTAAAGAGAAATTCTGTCTTGGTCACTCATGGAAGTTAAAGGATTATTTCTTTGACTCTCAAGGGCGATCAGTGTCTCTCAAAGATCCCATTACTACATCTAGAAACGAGAAAAAAGGGGACGAGAGACCTTAAGTCACTATATTACAAGGAGTCATACTGCAATCTACAACACGATGCTGCTGCAAAACTAGCCTGAGAACTCTTTGTTTGAATCTCGAAATTCAAGCTCTGAACAGACTGGCGGATTATCAGTCGCAAAGTTTGACAAAATCCAACTGCGGCTTAGAAGATCTGGCCATGATTTGTAAAGTCTGTTGACTCAAAAGTTGTTTTCTTATCAGTGCGATCACGTGGTTGTTGCTCATTTTTGGAAAAGAAGAAATCTAGCAGGCATCAACAAATAATTATATTCTCTCCAGATTACACAAAGTGATGCGGAGAAATACGTATTGAGAATAAAGAGAATTCTCGACTGGGGAGTATCAAATTAATTTTTACCAAAATTTTCAGGAACAGATACGCGTAACCATTTAGTAGATCTTATAATGTTATAGTATATTCTTGACCAAAGGATACGCACAGATAAACTTCCGAATATCTCCAACTGTATGTGAGTGGTTGAATTTTGAGACCATACTACAAAAGAAAACATTTCCGTCAGAAATTTTACACCGTAGCTTAAAGTAATCTTTGATTAGTCATTGTGTGTGTGGTAAGCGAATGTGGTCATATTAGAAGGACAAATCAGATTTTGAAAACCAGAGAATGTTCCTCAAGGAAATGTTATTTCGTTACGAGTTTAGACGCGAACAAGTGGGGGTGACGAGTACAACTGCGAAGGAACTGGAACTGAGATAAAATTGAAAACCGACCTACGCAAAGGAAAATGGGGGTAGATGAATTAACAAATAATCCTATTATGGCGGAGAAGGAAAATTAGAGGCCACAATGCCAAATGGCAGGAAATGAGTTGAATTGACGACCGCGTCTCTAATGCCAAGAAACAAGTGGAAATTACGGCTACGCCGAAAATGGAGGAAGAAGTGGAAACAAACACGTGGCCTGCATGACAAGAGTGCGGAAAGGGGG